AAGATCTTGTCGCAATTGCGAAAAATGCCCCTTATGATTCTACACCTCATATGCCCTATCTGCTCCCAGAAAGACTTTCTGATGTCATTTGTTCACTTTCCACTGAGACATCCGATCATGGACACCATAGGAGAGAGGCATGTACATTGCCTTTTTTTCTTGAGCTCTCATTGAGCTCTCAGCATCAGGGGAGCATGGTTAAAGTACCTAGACTTCTCATAAACAAGGAAGAAATCTTGGAAGTAAAGCAAGCCGCATCATTACTATCAGCAACAACTGCCTGTATATTAGCACTTTTTTACCATCCAAAAAAACCTATGGTGAAAAGTGTTGGGAGGGAGTAGATGACTCCTTGGCCTTCATTTGAGAACTAACTAAGTATCTGTATCAGTGCCTGAGATGTTTTTGTTTTTTTTATTCACCGTTCGTTAAATTAAAGGAGCAATCTAAACCATAACCAGAGGCTTGGTTAGCCCAGCACTCTGGGCAATTCAATGCCATTTAGCTTGGATAGTTACTAAGTAGTCTAGGTTGAAACAATACTAAAGTCCATCTAGTTCAGCCTTGAAACACATTATTTAATGCTGTTGACTCAAAAGAAGGCAGAAAAGTCCAATTGTAGCTATTTCCAATTATACCGTCTATGGAATCAGGGAGAACCTCATGCAGCTCATGATAAAAAAAACATGGGGGGTGGCCACATACAATATTGAACTGTCATGGTCATGATGCTTAGGATGCCCCTTTAAAATGTTGATATTTTGAATCAATTACATTTCAGTCCATTCATCCGTGATATCAGTGGAATATTGGATGCAATTTGTGGACCTCGGATTGATATCCATCAGATCTAGCAGGGAGTATCCAATAACACGGCAGAACCAGAGATGAGCCCTGGGATGGCTCTTACTAACATTTACAAACTTGCATACAATGACAATAAATTGCATGCACACATATACACTGATACAGGGGGTTATACATACACAGACACTTAAAAACACAGATATGTAAAAAAAAATTACATACAAACACAAGCACAACCTACCTTTTGAGGTAATGAGTTAGACACACAGATACCCAGTAAAAATAAGGACAGAATCATTTTGCAGAAATATGCAATACTGGGTCTCACGTTTGCAGCACAAGAATGATAAAAAAAACAAAAAAACTTATAGGTGTTGTGCTGCTCTTGTGATCATGTGATCCTCCTATTCTTGGGACATCTATGGAATTGTGCGATTTGTTGGGTAAGGAGGACCTTGGCAGTGGGCCCCCAAGACGCCAGGCACTGGCTGCCAGCAGGAACTGACTGAAGGGGCAACCCTCACTCTGTGAGGATGTTCCTTCGGTCATCACCTGCTGATGGCCAGACAATAAATGTCCCTGGCATCTTGGGGGAGGCACTTGCCATGGTCCTCCCTAGCCAACAAATCGCACAATGGCTTCTCGGGTTGGGGGGCATTTCCCTGGTGTTCCCCCCCCCCTGAATCCACCACTGGTGACAGCTTGCAGGACTGGTTGCAGGTTCGCATGGTGTGACAGCTAACTCCACCTGAACCACCAGCATGCTCGCTATCTTAGACGATGCCAGCCATGAGGCTGTGCTGGATACTGTTATATGGTTATGTAGATGGTAAGAGGAGGTGGGAATTGCGGCTCATGCTGCTAATTGTAGGACAGAGAGAAACTAGCCTAATATTAATGGTGGAAAAGTGGTAAATCTTAATGGTGGTGGGATTGTTGTGATGCCTAATGGAGAATGGAGATTGGGGATGTCTAATGGTAACAGGAGATAGCAGGGTGATGCATCATAGTGATAAGAGAGGGAAGGAGTGATACCTCGTGATGATGTTAAATACCACCTCTTTTAACACCACTGGACATCACCTTCTCCCATCACCTCTAGGCATCACCCCACCTCCTTCTCAATTCATCACTAGGCATCACCTCCACCACCATTATGAATCACCCCTCTCCCACCAACCATAGAACATCACACCTCCCACTAACCTCACTATTAGGAATTATTTTCCCCCCACTCCCATCACCAGTAGGAACCACCCCTCTCACACCACCATAGCACATCACGCCTTCCAATACCCTCACTGTCCCTCCCACTATCCCTTTAAAGGATCACTATAGTGTCAGGAAAACAAAGTGTTTTTTCTGACACTATAGTGCCCCTAGAGTGCCCCCACCCTCAGGGTCCCCCTCCCAGAAGCCAGCCACTATAGGCTGGATTAACCTCAAATGTAAACATAGCAGTTTCTCTGAAACTGTTATGTTTACATGTGAAGGGTTAAAACCTGAGGGACCTGGCACCCAGACCACTTCATTGAGCTGAAGTGGTCTGGGTGACTATAGTGTCCCTTTAACTGCTAGAAAAACATTTTCTACAGCATACCCCCTAAACCTCACTCTCTCTCCTCCGCTACATAATGGTAGATGGAGGGGGGAGATGCTGAGTTGCAGTGGGAAAGGGAAGGAGTAATGGGTGCCAAATAGTGCAGCGAGAGGGTAATGCCTAATAATGATGAAAGAGGGGGAGGGGGGGGGGAGGTGAGGCTTGATGGGTTGGGAGAAGGAGGGGGTGACAACTAATGGTGATGTGAGAGGGAGTGGGCTGGTACCTAAAGGGCCCTTGCCCACATGTCTAGGTATCACCCCCTCCCACTAACACCACCATTTGGTGTAACCCCTCTCCTAGCAACATTAAGCATAAGCCTCTTCCCTCTCATCACCAGAAGGTACAAACCTCCTCCCTCTCCCATGATTATTAGCCATGACTTCCCTCTCCTATCACCCTTCATCTTCCACCACCAGGATTGGTTTCTCTATTTTCCTGAGTCTCTCTCTCCCGCAAATGATAGATGGAAGATAGAGGGGTGAGTCAAATAGAGATGGGAAAGGACGGGTGTGATGGATGTCTAATGGTGATGGGAGAGGGAGGGGCTGACACCTAATGGTAATGTAAGAGAGATGGAGGGTGACACATAATGGATATGGGAGAGGAAGGTGATGGAAGGGGGGTGGTATCCTCCTTCCTTTCCCATCACCATTAAACAGAGTTTGTTTCTTCTCCCGTTAATTAATCAGCACCCTATCTCTCTCCAATCACCATTAGGCAACCCTTCCTCTCCACCGCTAACATTAGGCTCCATGAAACTCTCTCTCACTCCCATCACTTTCGTATAGGAGAGGAGCTGGATAGTGAGTGGAGAGAAAGGGGTGGTGGCTGCTTAAAGAGAAACCATAGGTGGAAAATGTGCCTCCTTATTCTACTTTATATAGAACAGGGGTCTCAAACCACTGGCCCATGGACCACTTGTTGTAGGAGGGAAACTGTCTTAACCTCAATTTCCATACTGTCTGGTTAGACACCGGACACCTGGCACCTGACAGTCTTTTCATTGAGCTGCTGGCTGCTTACCTACTGACCAACATTGCAGTGTGGTGCCCTTACAACTGTGTGTATATGATAGTACGCAAGTGTTCAGGGCCGGACTGGGGAAAAAATTCGGCCCGGGCATT